AATTAATTTCTATACTAAATATATTAGTTATACTATTAAAAAATATAAAGATAATATTAGCGTTATATAATTTAGAGTAGAAAGAACTATTAGAGTTATAGACTATATCTAGAATAGAAAGTAGTATAAGAGGCGTATAATTATTAATATAAAGCCTATAAAACTATATATTATTAAAGCTAGTAGAGTTATTAACTTAGGTAATAGTAATATACTTTATCTTATAAGTATTAGACTACTATATAAGATAGATCTAGTTACTTAAAGTATATAGAAAGTAAGTAAAATAACTATAAAGATAATAAAGCTTAGTAATAGTTTATAGCGCTATAAGCTCTAGAAAAAAAGTAATATATATATAAGTACTTTAAGTATTATCTCTAGCTAAATTAGACTTTCTACTATAAAGTACTTTATATAGTATTTTTAGAAAATAAAAAGCTTTAGAAAAAGCTTAATTTTTCTTATTAACTAACTTAACTATAGTAAATATCTAGAAGTCTTTAGGTAGTGTAGTATTATAAAAAGTTTCTTTATTTTAGTTTATAATTCTCTAGACTATAAAAGAGGTAAGTATAAAATTCTAAATTATTATAGTAGTATACTTCTATACTATATAGTATAAGCGTTTAGTAGCGCTAGTCTAATAATAAGTATAAAGTATACTAGCTTTAATAGTAATACTATAAGTAGTATAGTAGTTAGTAATTACTTATTATATAAACTTATTATTATAATAAAGATATATAATAAAATAACTATATTTATTAAAGAGATATTAAAAAGTATCTAGAAAAAGCTAAGTAATCTTACTCTTAACTTTAAAGAAACTAATCTATATAAAATAAGTAGCGTTATTAATAAGAAAAAGTATATAGCGTTTACTTTTAAGACTAAAAATAGAATATAGTTTCTAGATATTAATAGTAACTAGTTTACTAATATATTTATAATACTAGTTTATAAAGTTTTTAGAAATTCTATAAAGAGCGCGCGTAGTAGTGTAGACTAAGCACTAATCTTTAAACTTAGCTTAAATTTACTTATTAGTAATAGCTATACTATTACTAATCTTAGTAAGATAGCGTATATATAGAAGAGAAAGATACTCTAGGTAATAATACTCTAACTATACTAGATTATTAAAGTTAATAGTAGTAGCTATAATAAAGTTAGAGAAATAAGTTATACTTAGAATATAGATATTAGTATTAGCGTATAGTAGAGCCTAAGCAATTTTCTTATTATTATATTTATAGTATAATAGTATACTATTCTTTTAATTAGTAAGTATATAGTATCTAGAATTAGTATTAATAAAAGAAGATATAAAAAGTAAGTTATAGTAGATATTAGGCGTATAATAGATATTACTTAGCTAAAGAATAAAATAAAAGCTATTATAATTAGTAATAATAAACTTAATATTATCTTTTCTAGTAATCTTAAGTTATAAGCCTTACTTATAGGCTCTAATATACTTAGTATAGTACTTAAAATAAGAAAATAAAAAGAAATTATTTATAATATAGTAGAAAGCACTACTATTAAGAATTTAGAAATTAGATATAAAAATAGTAAGAGAAGTAGTAGCTATAAATATATATATATTAGAACTATTAACTATATCTAAACCTAATATATACTTATTAATCTTATAGTTAGCCTCTTTTATATAAGTAAGATACCTATAGTTCTAAGAGAAATTAGCGCTAGTTATAGATATAGAGTAGATATATATATAGTTAAGATTTAGGTAGTTAATATTAAGATAATTAAAATTAAAGGTATTTTAGAGTAAGAAAAGATTATATATAAAAGTAATTATATAGTTAAAGTAGTTAAAGAAGAATATATTATTATTATTATTAATAAAAGTAAGATCTACGTTAGAAGTAGAGGTAGATAGAGTATTCTTATAAGCCTTCTTATAATAAGTAGTTTTAATATAATCTAGCTTTTTATAAAAGGTATATATAAGTATATTAAATTTATCTATATAATAGTAGGTATTAATAAAGTAACTAATGTTACTATAGTATAAGTATATAAGTAAGTTAAACTTATTAGAGCTATTATTAATAGAGTAAGTATTACGCTAGTTAGTAGTAAAATCTTTATAAAAGTACTTATTCTTTAGAATAGTCTACTTATTTTTATTATTATTATAGTAGTTAAAAAGAAGAGTTTTATAAGTTTTAAAAATATTAGTAGTAATAAAAGTACTATAGTAGTTAAGCTTCTAATAGTTTAGAAAAGAATTATACTAGTAAGAAAAAACTTTATTAATCTTATTAATAAGCTAGTTATATAATATAGTTCTACTAGTGTTATTAAAGTTATAGTATAAACTCTTATACTAAGTAAGAAAAGATTTAATAGCTATAGAGTTAGTTATAGTAATATTATTAAGCTTAGTTAAAGTATAGTTTACTAAGATATTCTTAGAAGCTTTATTATTAAGCTAAATAGTACTATATATAAAGTAAGAGTTAAAAGTATTTTTTTTATTAAGTTTATACTAAATCTATAGCTTAATAGAAGTATAAAGAAAAGTAATAGTAGAGTATATAGCTTTATTATACTTCTTTTACTTCTAAAAAGTATAGTTATAGATAGCTAGCTTATTTATAGTATTAGTTAAAATAAAAACTAGTATAGTAGTATATAAGTTAATATTAGACCTAAAGTATATAACTTAGAAAGTAATATAAAAAAGAAGATTAGGCTTTTTAAAGTTATTAATAGTACTATTATAGTACGCTATATATTTATAAATAAAGTAAATATTAATAAAAGCCTTAGTTTACTTATAATAGTTATTAGAGCTAGTAAGCTTTTTAAAATTCTTACTTAAGGTAGTAGTAACACTATTAATAGTAGATATTATAGTAGATAAGTAAGTATAGAATATAAAGAAAAGTAGGTATAAATTTATAGTAGTTAGTATACTAAAAAGTATAATAACTTAGTTATATAATAGTAACGCTAAAGAAATTCTTATTATATAACTATAATATAAAGTAAAGTAGTAGCTAAATTACGCGTAGTAGCGTAAAGGCTTATAACTTATAAAATAAAAAGAGATATAATTATTCTATAGAAGAGAGAGGAAGCTCTATATAAATAATACTAGGGCGACGCTAGTGCTAGCGTGGGTGAATCACGTGATAGGATCCTAACTAACATAGAGGCCGTGTACTTCGCATGTCCGTAGGCCCGTCCCAGTCTTCGAAAGAACTGTGCAATCAGGACCAAGCGGGTGCCTTAAAGGCACCGATGGCGACCGTGGAAAGCCGTGTCGACAATCCAGAATGCTCTGGTCCACTAAGCCGGAGTTTTCTTGTACTCCAGCAACTTTGCCATTAGTCCAACCGCAGGAATAGCGAACTAGGACGGTCAAGGTGGCCCGATGGCGTCTGCGCGAGTCGTATCGAGTTGCATCTCATCGATGTGGACCATGGCATGACTACACAGCGGGGACTTTGCGTTCATGTGGACAGAGGAGTGGAGAAGCGTGACGCTGTGGAGCAGAGTAATCAACATGGAATTGTTCTAGAAGGTCGACTACTGCATAACGATGCAAAAACCTGGTGCAAATTCTGCTGAGCTTGTGCGCGATGACAGAGGAGTGAGCATGTTGAATGGCTGGACATAAGGTGGCGCGAGCATGGCTATCCAGAAGTCGGTTCGCACTTGACGCGGGGCAGTGGTTAGCCCACAATGAGATCCAAACGCTGGGATGATTGACGGCTCTCCAACGGTCGTCTTGGTGCTGCATGCTGCAAGGCACCAACAGTGTTGGGCGAACTAAAAGTTGTTCCAATGGCCAAGGAGTGACGCAATAAACATCGACTCACAGTTCGCGGACAGCGCACCTGAACGCCTAGATGCCGAAAGCCTTGGAAGTGGTAAGAGTGCTGATAGCACGTAGAATGCAACCATGGCTCGAAACGAGGCTAGGGCTGTGTGGAATGACCGGCTTTAGTCGCGCCGCTGTCAGTCACGGCAATGATCAAGGTGCGAGACAAGCGCCACGTTGTGGGAGCGCTGCACGGTGGTTCTTAAGACGAGGATTGGTTTTGCGAACACGTTTGCTCGGCACCGATGACCACAAGATCCTTCGATACAGAAGCTCGATGGACATAACGCCCAGAACAGGCTCTAGCCTGCGTGATACTACAGCGGGACGTAAGGTGATCGCATGGTCAAAACGCGCCAGGAGGCGGCGCAGTCGAATAAGCATGCAACAATGTTTCAAGACTTTGACTTCACATCACGACTCAGCTTGAAACTGGTCTTGCTCGGCTGCTGCGACACCAAAAGTAAACAACTCCACCGAGCAATCTGCGCCAATGCTTGTGGGCATGCTGTGCCAAGTTCAAGGTAATGATTAGTTTCACGCAATTTAGATACGCGTGTAGACAGATCACATGCGATAAAGCTGAATCGATCAGAGAGCAAGTACAAGATGATAGCGAATTAATCTATTATCAGGCTAGGAACAGGACCGGCAAGCCAGGACGTCTGCGCATACAACCCCACGCCCGTGTTAAACAGAAAAGGAAACAAATGTCCTTGACGAAGCGAATGACTGAAACAAGTATAGCCCGCCAAGGGGCATGGATTCCCGAATGGTATCCGATGTCGTGACTTCGTAAGAAAGAACGTGCAACCAAAAAGCACAGGCGCCAACGTCCAAAATAGCCAAGTACCGCACCCATGGTGTCGTTTAGGAAGTTTGGAAGGTGAGAGGCGAGAGCAAAGATGGCGAGATCAAGCAGACAGGTGCGCGTCGAGAACGTAGTGAAGAAATGAATAGATTGGGCCTGCGACGCTGTCTACCTCTGGCATTACTCGAGTGATATCAACTCTGATCTCCTCTTCCTGATCTCCCCTGGGTATAATGCGAGATTGGTATCCTGAATTATTGACTGGTAGAATGTAGAACCAAGTAATCCTTAGGCACCAATGCCACAGTAAACAAGTATTCGAGTGGCTTATGCGTGGAAAGGCTGGTGACGACGGGCATGGTCGTGAGCGTGAGCGTGCCTCTTTGCGTTGACATACTCGACCGCGGTGACGTAGACAGTCTTGGTAAGCTTGTGGTAAGGCTTGGGGTCCTGCTTCTCGGGCGCAGGTGTGACAGCGGCAGCAGCCACTTCGATGTCGGCAGTGTAGGAGTCTTCGTAGGAAGCAGAGGAGGAAGTAGGCTTGGCAGCGGAGTACTCTGCCAGCTTGCTGGAGCTGGTGGAAGGCTCTGCAGAAGACTCAGGCTCGCTAGGAGACGAGCCGTAGTCGCCAGAGGGCGCCTCTCCACCGCACATGTAGAAGTCCACGCTTTGGTCGAGGTGGCAGGTCTTGGTCTGAACGTCGTCGGGAAGGACGTAAGAAACCTGGTCGCAAGAAGCCTCATCGTGGCAAGCCAGGATAGGACAGAAGGTGTTGGAAGAAGAGGCGATGTTTATTCCGTCCTGGCTACCGGCCTTGAGGTAGTATCCGTCCTTCCTTGCAGGGCAGTCGCCACCAAGACAATCGACATATGAAACATCGAGGAAGTTGTATTGGAAGTTGGGCTTAGAAGTTTCCAGATAGTACTCCAACTGGGTAATGTCGACGCCTTTGCATTCTTTCGTCTTCGAGATCTTAATGGACACACCAACGTCGTCCTTGGGAGGAGTGTAGTTCTCATTGTAGATCTCGCCAGTCTTCAACGTGACCATGCCATCTTCGGGGCAGCCATCACCCTTGTAAACAGACCAAAGGTGAACGTCGTAGTCGCAACGGTTGATGACGCGTGCGTAGGGCTTGGCGGTGTCGCATTCCTTGTTCAGATTAACAGCGCTTCTGAGGTTGGTCGCGGAAGTGGTCGCAACCATGGCCGAGGCCGCCGAAAGGAGGGTAATGAGCTGCATTATCGTCGAGTTGGACCGGTATAGTACTTGGCGCAAAGGTAAAGACTCGAAAGAAGCGATCGAAAGAATGTCGGCTGAACACCTAAAAGAGTGAAGTTATTCAGCGAATGAACGTGGGTGACGAAGTCTTTCCTGAGCGGTAAAGAAGGAGTTTGGGACCTGGGGGATGCGCAAGTAAATAAGATGGCTGCATCCTAGTCCACGCAGCCCAGGCCCACTTCGAAGCCCGTCCGCCATGGAACTAATCGTCGCCACGGCGTGGACTTGTTTGGGACGGAGCCAAACGTCGTGGCTAGTCCGGAGAACAGGCACGGGCAGCATGCTAGCCGCGATCAGATAGGTTCTCGACAAGATGGGCAAGGGGCGATCCAATCGGACAAGTGCGGTGCCTGATCGTCAGGGCAATGGTCGTAACTCTGGCCATCTCATGTCGGGTAAAGTACGAAAGCAGAGTAAATAACAACAGGGATGTCGCCGATCGGCATTGTCTTCCTTCTGGCCAGCATTGGTTGCAGAGATTTCCGACTGGGAATGAAGCAACTTCCTGGGCGCGTGCTACTTTGCTTACAACAAAGATGCGAAGTTGTTATTTGGCTGCACCAATGAAGCTGGACGCCTCTCCTTCATCGCAGCATAGAACTTGTGAGCCTCAGGTTGGTGGTGCAGAAACCCGAGATGAGTCCGCTTGGCGAGCCTGGCCATTGTCTTAAGCGATCCCCTTCGCAAGGCTCGAATAGGGGCTGTGTCCAGGCCTCGTCACCTCTTCCAGAGCACGATCACCTGCGACGAGCTGTTGGATCGTTGGTTCACAGTCAGACATGCTGCGAGGACAAGTCGTAAGACAGCTGTCACGATTCCGTTGGGCCCGTCCATTTGCGCCATCCTTGTGATGATGACCGGTCGAGCATGTGTAGCAGGAACATGCATCGACAAGTGCGAGGTCCAGGCCGGTGCGCTGTCGCAATGTTGCAGAAAGCCGGTAGTTCGAACCATTTAGCAAGGGCTCCTTTCCACATTTAATTTCCCACACTCGCCAACCGGAAATCTCCCATGACGGCCAGCGTAGGATGAGATCAATTCCGCCACAAGTGCCAGCTCTCTGTTCTTTGTTGCGCTTGTTTGCGGTCACCCCAAGCAAATACAGTCGCTGACTTGGCTGGCTTGGAGGTGCAGCGTAGCGCAGTGAAGCGTGCGACGGATGTCGTGGCACCATAACTGGACCATTTCAGCGACGCGATTCATGTGCAGAGCAATCTGCCAGCGAGTCGTCCCTGGTTGTGCGCCAGTTGTGCATCTTGTCGAGAAGCGTTCCAGATCACATACACTTTGGTTGAGCGGAATCTGGGCACGAGCGAATCTTTAGTGGGGCTCTCCTGGCCACCACGTGACACAAACACCTGTCAAACGCCGCTCTTCGGTCATGCGATGTCTCTACTTACCAGACAAACTGAAGACCTCGAAAGGCTGATAGAGTTATTATTGGAGGCTGGCGCATACTTCCTGGGTGGATTCTGCAACAAGCCATCCGACCTGCATCGTCTCTCGGCTTTGCATCCACTCGAAAGTCTCTACAGTACAGTCTCAGTCATGGTGGTTCACACGGACGCGCAGCAAGTCACATCGTCCTCTCGTTTCTCGATTTTATGCCGCGCAACCCAAGGTGAACCGCTCGCATGCTGAAAACTATGCGGGCGATGTCTTAGCGACTGCCATGTGAAGCACGACCTATATCACGACGTCGGAATAAGAACCAGGCCTGTGCTATACGACTTGCACCTACACGGGTTGGCACACGTGGAGCTAAATACCTTCTTTGGTCTCGAAGCGTGTCTTGCCCAACCATGCCTGATGCGAGGAGTAACGTTCCGCAGCCTACTCGAGCCGCTGTGCAACACCGCTACTAAGCTTGCCGGATTGACAATGTACAAAGCCCTCGCAACACGTCTTCTCTGGCGGCGGACATCTTCGCATCTGCATAATGTGAAATGCACGCATGATTTACACTTCGGGATGTAGCCGTCTACGCTTTTCTCGGCACGTTTGATACCACATCTTCTCGGGAAGACAGACGTACTACGATAGTGTGTTAGTAGCAATACCAATACACAAATCGGAGCACAACATCCGCGCAAGTGTGGTTGATCTGAAGAGAGCTAGCTTTCTGGCATCAAGTCGAAGGCTTTCGATACGGGAGTTGCTTTGCCGTGAGCCTGGTCACTGACACTCATCCTCGATCCGTCACTCGGCCCAGATCCAATGCCACGGGATCGCAGTAATGCGGGCGCTGTATCCACTCATGCTCAGCTGTTCAAGTAACGATGTCTCCAACATTCCGTGGCACTACATCGACCGGTCTGCTGACATGCTTCCGGGTCCGTTCAGCGACGCCAACCAGATCCCACCAGCTGTCAGATATCGACTGCACTAAACGTATGTTGCGTTGTTGCCTGACAGGCTGGTGTTATCTTCTGGCGTCAGTCGAGATTGATGATTGCAAGATCTCACTGTAAGATATCGGTTTCATCCCCATTCAGGGAGGCTTTGGCTAATTATCTTGGTCACAACAAAGGCTCTTCAGACGCAAAGAGTCTGGGCCACTTTGCATCACCATAAGAAGCTGACGCATGTCCAGGTTGTGTAAAGGACATGACTGCAGATGTTTAAGCAGACCATATGCTCACCCATTTTGAAACAAGAGAAGTAAGTACTTATCGTCCGAAGGCAGGTCGTTTTCTCCTCGTTGTCTGGATCCTTATCTTGTTCTTATATCTCCGCGGAACGGGTGGAAAGGGCGGCAGTATGCCAGCGCAATCTCATAACTCTACTTTCAAGGGGTGGTGTATTTGATCACTAGTAGAGGTTCCTACCCTTCAACTCTTGCTGGGTGGAGATGTGATGCTCGAGCAAGAGCGGTAGTCTCTACCGCCATTGATGATGGGAGGCGGCCTTGATAGCATCCTGCAACTTCTGCGCTTGGCTCCAGACACATATATGTGGTTTTCATCCTCACGTATTACTTTGCGTATCGCGACCCAGCGGTGCGGCTCAAGAACTCACTTGGTGCGTCGAACGGTGAGCTGCATACACCTGGAGGTACGCGCCAGCTTCTTACTGGATGGAATAACCGGTAACAATGGCAAATCAGCCGGCGCTGCCAGCCGTGATATCCAATTGGAAAGCGAGTTGGGCCGCAATAACCAGCGTACAGATTCGCGGCAGTTTGAAGGACCACACTACTATAACGATAGGTACGCCCGAAGCGCATGGTCGAGAACCCGATTGTAGTGAAAGAGATCTTCCGGAGACAACGCACGTATACAAACCTTGCGCTGTGCATGGTGTTGGATTGGAGCAGCCTGGATTTCACATCTTCAACCGATCTTGGAACTGATCACAACAGCCGCGACCCAGTTCTGTCTGGTCATCCACCGGCCATCGCTGATATAAACCAATGATTTCGGCTGCTGGCGGAGCAAGGATAAGACGAGCTCTTTCTATGGTACCCTATGCATGTTTCCTCCATGCACGCAATTGCACATCCCATTGCATCACTCCGCTCTATCTGCAGCGGTTCTGGGATCGATGATGATCCTAAGTATGCGTTGTGTCCAGGCTTTTTTGCATTCCATGGTCGTTGATCGCATAGAGTTGCTTTCAAGAACTGGGTATAATGGCTTCCAGCATCCTGGAGCAGTAAGTACGTGATGAACTCACGTGCAAGCTTAACTTGCTGACACGCTTCCAAGGTTGCGTGCGTTGACCCTGTCACAGCCCGCACCATAACCGTGCCACGCACGTGAACGAACGTTTGATGCAGGCTCATGCCTGACGCAGCTGCACGGGACCGACGCCACATGCATACGACACATCCCACGTGCAGTCGTCTTGCTCACGACCGTTGGCCTGGCCGAAAATCTTGTTTACGGGTATGTCTAGTGTAGGGGGGCGTACCGGCATTCGGTGCGCACGGGAGCGTCCAAGGGTGGGTCGAACGGCCACGGCCCGTAATCGGTAGGCTTTAGGTACGGTCTTCGAGGTTTTGCCATGAAATACAAGGCTTTTGAGGAAAGTTGACATTTGCTTCCTGATCCGTTGTTGCGTGCGCCGGCTGTATGCGATGCAACATGGTTGGTGACTTGTCGATAACCCATGTCATCACGGAATTTAGGAAATACGAATCGAGATTAGAAGACAAGCTCTAGATCCTAAGCATGTACAAGGCCCGTTGCGGGTAGAGATTGAGTCCCTTGAGGCAAATGCGTTATCTCAGTAGGCCAAACAGGAGGCGCCCTCCGTGGGATGTCTTTCGGTTAGAAATAATGTGGCAGCTTTCCCCCACTTGTGGCGGGCAACGGTAGAGTTTGAGGGTGTGTGGTTCCCGCGATAGTCGAGTCCGACACTGAAGTGTCAAGGTTCCGGTAACACCATACCATATCTGCCGGATTAAGCGTAAGCCGCCACTGCCGCCAGCCAACGAGAGAATTGCCATCTGAGTCATGCTGCTGATTTTCGGCATACCGAAAGATGACCCTTTCTAGAATCGGCATTGCTACCCAGTGAGGTTGAAGGAAGGCATATCGGTGTGCGGCTTAAATACCAGCTCGTGCCGTGTGGGTGTACAGCCGACCATTATCCCGCGTCGAGGCGAACCACTGGTTTGGGCCACTACATGACTATCAACCACTCGGTACGATTACTTCGGTAGGATACTGGAAGTTCATTTGGAGACGATGATTGGAGATCGGAAGATTTCTACCATGAGAGAGGAAGCTCGCTTTTGATTAACGGGTATATGGATCGAACCAACATGCAAGATTACCACGAGTCGCTTCCTGCACCGGGAGAGGTTACCAGAAGCAATGAGCGGTGTGACTCGCAGTATCAGAAAAGAAATGCGAAATTCTGGGAGCTGCAGCAAGGTAACGCGCGTGGAAGGGCATAGTACATTAGACACGAAACTTGAGCGTCTTTCGACTCCTCCACCTGAACAGCTGTGATTG